GCGGAGAGTAGAGTCTGTTTGTGATTGGCTGTGCGTGGTAGCTCCGCCCATCACGGGGTTTGTGCGTCCTCCCTCTCCAGTCAGAGCAGCAGCGTGGCGTAGTGATTCAGAACTGGGCTTGCAGGTTTGAGTCCTAGATGGGCTGTTACCACTACTTGTGTCAGTCAGCTACATTACATTCATTTATCAGACACTCTCATCCAGAGCGACTGTTTGTACAAAAGAACAGAAGCATATCTATCCAGATTAAATGAGCAACATTGTCAGGCCGCCTAACAACACTCCGAGACCAGTGAGTGTGAGCATAACACCATTCAAGCCCTGTCACAAGTTAAGTTGTGCTAATCTGAAACTAGACAGCCTAGACAACTAAGGGATGTCAAGTACATACACTATCATATATCTCAATATAGCATAGTGTTTCAGCATGTATCTGGTCATAGTAATGGTGAACCTGTGAAATGCGTGGTGTGCAAGTGGGCCAGGATAAGGGCATCTTCTCAGCAAAGGAGCATTGTAATGTCATTAGCGTGTGTCTGTCAGTCCTGTGCTCTGTCCTGTTCCCTGTAGCTGCTCTCTGCTCACTGGTGTGCTCTGTCATCTGCCCTCTCCAGCAGAACAATCTGAGCAACCCCCCCACCCCTCCGGCCTCCCTGCCTCCCACCCCGCCCCCCGTGGCCCGGCAGAAGATGGTGAACGGGTTCGCCACCACGGAGGAGCTGGCCAGGAAGGCGGCGGTCATGGGCGGCCATGATGGTAAGGTCGTGGTTTTATCACTCTGAGAAGTGCTGAATTAGATCAGGTTTCGTTTCTTTAGCCTGTTGCTGCATATATAATGGCATATAAACGGTATAAACGGCATAACAAAGTGAAATGTTGTATGACTGTTACACCACATAAGTAAGTTGTTCATTTTTTTTTTTCTCTCTGTCTCCCCTCTACAGTGACCAAAAGTCTTGTGCCCAAGCAGCTCCAGACGCCGTTTAGACCAGAAGACCTTCTGGCGCGAGCGATCGCTCAGGGGCCCAAGACTGTGGATGTGCCCGCCTCTCTCCCTACTCCTCCCCACAACAACCAGGAGGAACTCAGGTCAGTCCCATCTGTGAATGCCCTGCAGGTGACAGTCTGGGTGTGAAAGATCTCTCTCTTTTCTCTCACACTCTCTCTGGCTGTGCCACTCTCTGTGACTTGCTTTTCCCTGTGTGAAACCCATTTAGCAGGTGTCAGTTCTGCTTTGTTCTAGTTTGCAGTCATTTCCCAATTGCACTCAGGGGTCCAGTTATGGAGGCTCTCTGTACTTCTGCCTGTCTTGCTTTCTCTCTTCCTCCCTCTCTCTCTCTCTTCCCTCCCTCTCTCTCTCTCTCTCTCTCTCACTCTAGTCCTGTCTCAATGTATTTCTGTCTTTGTCTCTCACTCTCATGCCACTTTCTCTCTGTTCCTCTCTCATTGTTTCTCCATATCTCTCGTCATTTTTCTCTCTGTACTTTTCCCTCGTTCTATTTCTCTTCATCTTTCACCACCACTTACACTATCTTTCTCTGCATTGCTCTCATTCTGTATTTCTCCATCTCTCTCTTATATCTTCTTTCCCTCTTTATGTACTTTTCTTTCATTCTGTTTCTCTCTTCATCTCTCACTCTGTCATCTTTCTCCACTTCTCTTATTGCATCTTTTTTCACACAACCTCACAGCTCCTTTGACATTTTTGTGCTGAAAATATTCAATGTTCCGTCATTTCTTCTGCCCCTGTTTTGTGGGGATTTCTATTCAAACCATATTCATATATGTATACATAGTAATCAGAATTTAAAAGACACTGCGTCCTACTTCTCTGAAAATTTTGAAGGCTTTGAGGACCTTTTTCCTTTATTAACCGTTTCAATATAATTATGCTCCATTTTCAGTTTAGATCCTATTTATGTCTTCCAGGACTCTCTCATTCTTTTTCTCTCCATCTCTCTCACTCTCACACGTTCTTTCCCTCTCTGTCTCTCTGTGACACACACAGGGGACATGAACAGTGTGAAGACCGGGACACCCCTGACAGCTTCGTCCCCTCGTCGTCCCCCGAGAGCGTGGTCGGCGTGGAGATCAGCCGTTACCCGGACCTGTCTCTGGTGAAGGAGGAGCCCCCTTCCCCCGCACCCTCCCCAGTCATCCCCATGCTACCCAGCTCCAGGGGGAAAGGTACACACCCCAAAACCAGAGAGTGACCCGTGCTTTGGTCTGTGAGGAGCTTCCTTTAGGTGACTGCAGTAAAATGACTCTGAGGCACAGTGTCATGGATGCCCACTAAACCCAATATGACTGTTGGCTGGAGTCTGTGGAATTGCTGACAGTGAGCTTTGGTCCTGCATTTGATCAATTCAAATTCAAATTCAGACAGGCTTTATTGGCATGACCACACAGAGGCACAGTATTGCCAAAGCAAATTTCACAAAAACAAGCAAACAATTTTCATATGCAATTTTTTTTTAATTATACAAAACGATTATTGAAGAATAGTTTTTTTATTAAAATGCAAAATATAATGGTTCTAAATAAGTAAAATAAAGAATGGGGAATATGTATTTTGGTTAGAAGGAGCTCAGTTATTTATGTGCTGACTAATTAAAGATCCTCGGTTCCAGCCTTTTTACCATGCTGGATATTTCAAAAAATTGAAAATTTATCATTAAGAGGAAAAGAGGCCAGCGTATTACCAAGCCACCAATGAGTGGGCATTTTATGAATGTGTATTTAATATTAAAATAATTTTAAGCAGCGTTGTGTCTCTCATTCTGTTGCTTAGGGTCCGAGGCCCGGCAGAGGGAAGTTAAGATGGAGCCGCAAAGCATGTTTTTCGGGTCGCAGTTTGGGCAGCCACCGAATTGCTCCAGAACAGGCCTGGTTTCCATAGCGATCACCCTGAACCCAGCTGCAGCAGAGGTGGGTGACTGCGAGGGGTGGAGTGGAGGACTTGGGGTAGTGTCTGCTGAGGGTTTCATTTGACAGTGGGGCTCAGGGTGAAGTTTTTGGGCAGCCAAGTGGGCGAGCCTCTTGGCGGTCCTGATCTGAGTCATCATCATGACCCAGACAGGGGAGATTGACTCAGACTCCCCAGGGTTTTGGGTCTCTGTTCTGGAGGGCAACAAGGAACCAACCCGAACCTATGGGTCAGTGTGTTTGGAGGTGATGGGGAAACTGAACCATACATTACATTATTGTCATTTAGCAGATGCTCTTATCCAGAGTGAGTTACATAGGTAACAATTTTTACATTTTATCCATTTATCCAGTGGGATATTTACTGAGGGAATTCTGAGTTAAGTACCTTGCCCAAGGGTACAGCAGTGCCCCAGCAGGGAATCGAACCAACAACCTTTCAGTTATGAGTCCTGCTCCTTAACCGCTATGCCTCACTGCCGGGTTGGTGTTGCCGGGGTAACCGAGCCCTCTGGCTGTGTGACACAGAACATCCCGGGCGTGGTGGCGGCCGTGGCGGACCTCCTCTGTGTGAAGATCCCCAGCAGCTACGAGGTCAGCAGCTCCCCGGACCGAGGCCCCTCGCACCCGGGCTCGCACCCCCGGCACCCAGGCATGACCGTCCTCAGGGCCCCCGGCCCCTCCGGCGTGATGCAGTCCCAGCTCCTCTTCCCCTCCACCGGTAAGCACAGACAGAGGAGGCCCCCCCGTATACTGTAAACTCCATGGGGGGATGTGTGTCAGAGTGCTTTTAGGTTAGGGCAGGTCTTTGATTTTTGTCTTACGGGATTGGTCATGTGGGTATTTGGGTGTGGCCTTTTATGGGAACTTCATTTTTTTGTGTTTTTTCCATTGTTAGATGCTTTGGTGTTTTGGTTTATATTTTAATGATTTTTCTATTACACTTCATTTAAATAGTTAATCTCTTTTAAGTATTTCTTAAATGATTATTCAGTTTCTGGACAGCACCCTCTGTCTGAAGCAGGAGGCTGCTGGTGAGGCATATAGACGCACATTATTATCAATAACGCAGAAAATCCTAACCAAGTGACGATTTTAGACGGAGCTCGTTAGCACGCAACGGCTTGCTTTTAAGTCTTCGTGTCAGATCTTGTTTAATAAGTAAAGCCAATCAGTCTGGTCATCCAGACGAGATATAAGGCTCTTTGAGCGCTTTGAAAGAATAATCTTCAGTTGTCTTGATTTCTAATCAGAACAACTTCTTTGTATGCAGTGGACCTCAGAACTTAATCTTGGTTCATGTAAAAATGATTACATATCAGACTTAAAAATTTATAATCATATCAAAAAGGCCCCAGTAACTAAAGAAATATGAAAACTGTACAGTACAACATTTTTAAAGAAATTTTGAAAATAAGAAAGAAAATAGCAAAAATTAAATTCAAACTGGCAACGCTGTCAATGTTTCAGATCGACGCAGGAATCCATATTTTTGTTGCGAGCATAAAGTGTTTGCGTTTTTGAGAGCTCTCAATCATTAGAGTTTGAACCTGAACCGAAGACACGTCCTGAAGGTCTCTCCGACGGCCTTGTCACCGCTAAATGAATTTGTGAGCGATGTGTCTTCCTGGCAGAAACCTTGCGGTGTCCTCTCTGGGCGACGGGGCGTGTCAGGGGGTGCACTGGCTGATGTGCGCCTCTGTGTTCCAGGTGCAGCTGGGGTCAGAGGTGACTACCCGCCGGGGAAGGTCGACCCGGACCTCAGGCCGCAGTGGTGCTGCCACTGTGAAGTGGTGGTTCTGGGAAACGGAGTCCGAAAGTCCACCAAGGACCTGCCCGGAGCTGCACAGGTACCACCAGCGCATCTGAGAGGCCTTGTTTGGCCCTGCGTGGCTGCTTTACCATATCCATTTCCCTGGAAGACATTACGTTACGTTAGGTTATTGTCATTTAGCAGATGCTCTTATCCAGAAAGACTTACATACAGTAGGTTCCAATTTTATCCATTTAAATGGCTGGATATTTACTGAAGCAATTGTGGGTTGAGTACATTGCCCCAGGGTACAATAGCAGTGCGCTGGTGGGGAATTGAACCAGCAACCTTTCGGTTATGAGCCCCCCTCCTTACCACTATGCCACACAGCATTACAGTACAGTACATTACATTCATTTAGCAGATGGTCTTATCCACTTCCAGCACAAGAGCACAGAAGTGTATCCAGTTGAGTTAAATGAGCAACAGTGTCAGATCAGTCTAACAGCACCACCCAGACTAGAGCACAACACCATTCAGGCACTACCACAAGTTAACTTGTGCTAACCTGAAGCAGCCTAGAAAAACTAAGGCAAGTCAAGTGCATTCACTTCCATATATCACCGCTGTCCACAACGACCTACATGTTAAATCCTGTCCTTACACACAGGGCGGTATTTTACTGAAGCTTAAGGTAAGCAGTTGGGCTTGTAGCGCAGATATTTCAGGTGTGACCCAGGTACGGCGCTGCTGTTTTACCCCTCGGCACGACGCAGTACAATCTAACGCAACCTCACTTTGTTTTTCCATAATGAGGGAGATGTCCTTGGCCCTCTTTTCCCTCCCATATGTTGCTCACACGATGAGATGAATTAAAGGCATATCCTTTAAAAGGCCCCTTTTCATCTTTCTCCTGCCTCTGTTGCACACTAATGGCTGCAGGTGGGACAGAACGGCCCTATTATTTCCTGTGATTAGCTTCAGTGAATGTCTAGCTGCATGAACGGTTAATGGGTGAGCTAGATATGAGCTCTGTTAGCCAGGGTAAGAGCATGTGCTGAGTAATTAGTTTAATATGTATTCATATTTATTGTTAAACAGTAAACTGTGTGAAAATCTATGTGAAAAATCGTGATAGCTAGTTAGAGTGAGGTTTCATGGGCACCATCGCTGTATTTGTGCTGTGGAGTGCAAAGGCCTCCGATTGGTTCGTACAAAGTTGATTGACAGCTCTTTGTAAGCCCCCTCCCACTGTGTGATGGGTGAAGCTCCACCCTCCAGACGTGTGTAATTCGATCCCCCCTGGAGAGGTCGGGTTACATAAGCAGGCTGTGAGCAGGAGCGCAGGAACGCAGGGGCGAGGGGGGGTGGGGGTGGCTCCGGGGTTATGCTCGGGGGCGCGTGGAGTGGGGCGGCTCCGTGATTATGCAAATCTGCCCCGCGCTGAGCATACCGCGCCGTCCCAGAGCAATTAGGGGGTTAACCTTCAGGAGCAAGGGAAGGAGGGAAGTCAGGACGCGAGGCGAGGCGAGCTCGGGCCCCGAGCGGGAGGAGGCGGCTCGAGTTTCGCAAACGGTTAAGCCCTTTAAGTTCAGGTAATTCAGGAGTGAGGTGCCTTTGATGTGCCTGCGATATGTAAATTTAATAACTCCTTTTGGCATCAACAAAGGTTTGTGCGGAAGGAGGCTTTGATCTCTGATTCCTCCTGCGTCACCCGGCCTGCATTTCAATGGTAATTTATAGCGATATGGAGGCGGATGATGGTCTCTCTGCCTTTGTCTCTCTTGCTCTCTCTTTTTTTCTTTTTCTGTCCACCTCTCTCTCTCTCATCACTTTCTTTCTCTCTGTCTCTTTCTGTCATTCTCTCTCACTGTCTCTCTCATCTCGTTTCTCTTTTCTTTTTCTGTCTTTTCACCTCATTCATCTCTTCGTCTTTCTCTCGCTTTCTCTCACTCTCTCTCATCTCTTGTTTCTCTCTCTCTTTCTCTCTCCCCCTCCCTCTCTCTCTCTTTCTGTCTCTCCCCCCCCATTCTCTCTCTCTCTTTCTCTTCCCCCAACCCCCCCTCTCTCTGTGCTCCTGGGAGAGAGGTGGTTAAAGAGCAGGTCTTGCATCAGAGGTTGCCGGTTCAGTTCCATTCCCGGGTGGGTGTGTGGGTGTACCGTTGAGCAGCGCACTCGGGCTGAATGGTTAAATGTCAGTAAATGTCCAGCTGTATAAACGGATGATGCGTGTGCCGCTGCAGATAAGGCCCTCAGCGTGTGAATCATGTAAATAATGTAAAAATAACATAGCGTCAACGTCTGTCCCGCTCTCTCTCCCTGCCAGGACTCTGCGGAGGGGCGGGGCCGAGCGGAGGGCAGCCTCGTGTTCTGCAGCCACAACTGCTTCCTGCTGCACGCCGCCGCCAAGCAGTCCAAAGCTGCAGACACCAAGGTACGGCCTGGACACACCCCTGCCGTCTGAAAACGCACCTGTGTCACAAAACCCAAGGAAAGAGTTGGGTTAGACGTGAGAAGCTTTGTAACGACCACTGATCTAGCGCATGCATGGTGGCTTAAATTAAATGGCCCCCCCTGGGGTTCATGCCTGAATACTTGCTGACATTTTCCAGAAAGACCTAAAATGAATTTTATGTCCAGGGCAGAAGGAAGACTGTGAATGGCAGAGAAGGGATTGTACTTATGGGTGATTGTTGCCCTCCTCCTATAGTCTCCTACAAGCAGGCAGGTGTATTTCTAGCCTAAACAGATCATGCATCAAATGGCAGCTGGATCCTTTTAGTAAAACAAAGAATGAAAATGTGCAGATCAGTTGTAAGAGATGTGGATCCCGTGGTTGTTTCTGGGGTGCACATGTGGCTTGTTTTTGGGGATGGCCATGCACAGGCAAATGTACACACAGGAAGCCTTGGGCCACCTAGCAGTTTACACTACCTCCCTGACAGCAGACCTTATTCTGAGATCTGTAAATTGTAGAAGAATATTTAAAGTGTGCAAAATGGATTGCAGTGGTGAGATCTTTCCAGTGCCATATGTAAAACAGAAGTGGGGATGATTTTGCGGTTTTTAAGTAGATCTCATATTATCTGCTGGGGTGGGAGAGGCTGTTGCTTGACCTGCCATAGGGTTAACCTAAGGCAACCTCAGTGCGTTTTGAACGTGTGCCAGTCAGTGTGTAATTTAACAGCAATGTGTGAGTGATTAGCAACCCTAGGGGTGCGTGCAGCAGCAGGTAAATTATGGAGAGGTTATATGGAAATTCTTACCAGTGCAGTTCCATCGATGGGTGAAAAAACATATTCTGGGATCATTTCACTCCTCAGAGCTGCAGTGAAGCCCAGGAAAAGCACTGATGCGTGTTTCGGGTTGCTGTGTTCAGTGTCAGATAGCTAGATAGTCATGCTCAAACTTGAGGCGAATCGAACTGGAAAGATGGTGTTTATTGCATTCGGCTTTTCCCTTCTTCCCGATTTCGCAGCACGGTCTGTCAGCCCCCTCCGATTCCACCACCAAGGAGAGCCCCTCGAAGATCCAGCACCAGTACAGCAACAACATGTCCGCCCTGGACGTGCACTGCCTGGCCCAGCTCCAGCCCAAGGAGTCCCCGCCCTCCACCCCGCCCATCTCCTTCCCCTCCGCCACGCCCGAGGCCAAGGCGGAGCCCAAGCCCGACCCGCTCAAGGTGACGGTCAAGCTGAAGCCCCGCCCCCGGGCGGTGGCCAACGGCTCGGACGAGGGGCCCCGCCCGCAGGGGAAACGCTGGAAGGGCTCCCGCTGGAGGAAGTGGAGCGTCCAGGTGCTCGTCCGGAAGGGCGCCCCCCGGCCGCCGGCCGAGGACGAGGTGGACGAGCTCCTGCAGAAGCTCGGGGCGTCGCTGCGGCCCGACCCGCTCCCCCGCGACCTCCGCAAGTGCTGTTTCTGCCACGAGGAGGGCGACGGGGTCACCGACGGGCCCGCCCGCCTGCTCAACCTGGACGTGGACCTGTGGGTGCACCTCAACTGCGCGCTGTGGTCCACCGAGGTGTACGAGACGCAGGCGGGCGCCCTCATCAACGTGGAGCTGGCGCTGCGGCGCGGCCTGTCGGTGCGCTGCGCCTACTGCCAGCGCACGGGCGCCACCAGCGGCTGCCACCGGCTGCGCTGCGCCAACGTCTACCACTTCACCTGCGCCCTCAAGGCCCAGTGCACCTTCTTCAAGGACAAGACCATGCTGTGCCACCAGCACCGGCCACGGGGGGCCGCCCAGGAGCAGGAGCTGCGCTACCTCGCCGTGTTCCGCCGCGTGTACGTGCAGCGGGACGAGGTGCGGCAGCTGGCGGGCGTGGTGCGGCGGGGGGAGCGGGAGCACACCCTGCGGGTGGGCAGCCTCATCTTCCACGCCGTCGGCCAGCTGCTGCCGCAGCAGATGCGCGCCTTCCACGGGCCCGCCGCCATCTTCCCCGTCGGCTACGAGGCCACGCGCATCTACTGGAGCACGCGTCAGGGCGGCCGGCGCTGCCGATACCTCTGCGGCATCGACGAGAGGGACGGCCGGCCCGAGTTCAGCATCCGCGTGCTGGAGCAGGGCTACGAGGAGCTGGTGCTCACCGACACCACCCCGAAAGGTGAGGCGCCTCCCGGGTCTCAGGTGAGAGGGGGGTGTCCTCCTCGCCCCCGTAGAAGGTGTCCACCAGAACCCATGGAAGTGAAAGGGAGGTGGATCGCAGCAGTTTCTTTGCTTGGCATCCCAGGCTGACTTGTGTGTGCTAGTAAAGAGGGCAGCAGTGTAGCATAGTAAAGAGCAGAGCTCGTAACCGAAAGGTTGCTGGTTCAGTTCCCCGCTTGGTCACTGCTGCTGTAGCCTTGGGCAAGGTACTTAACGCCATAACTGTATCAGTAAACATCCAGCTGTATATGACATTATTGGCATTTAGCCGATATGGATAACATAAAAGCTAAGCTATGAAAGTTGCTCTGGATAGATTTGTCTGCTAAATGACAATAATGTAATAAGTATAATGTAAACATTAAGAAACCAAGTAGGAGATTCTAGAAACCTTCCGAAAGATGGAAAGTGACCTCTTATAACCGAGTGCTGTAGAGCAGACAGTAGCTGCCTCTCCATTGACCTGTGTCCTTCCTTGAGAAGCTATACGTGTCAGGGTTTTCTCATAGCTCCCATTTCAGTCGCGAAGCCGACAGTCTCAAAACGTTCTTAAAGATTGGGAATTAAAAGGATTGTGAGAGTAGTCTATTTATACACTGCTCCTCTAAAAATGAGACTGCTGAGGAACAGAGAAACTCTAACAGTCGTTGAGGAGACAGGAAAAGACCTGGCTAACGAGACGGGACGCCTGATGTTCCCCGCGTGATGTTTTTTTCTTTCCTGTCCGTGTTGCGCAGGGGTCTGGG